AAGGCAGGGCAGGAGCGGTGCCATGGCGGCGCGAGAGCAGTGCAAGAAGAACCCAGCCAGAAAGGGCCAGGGAAGACCTGTCGAGGTGTGGTGCTCAATCCTCCAGAGGACAGCAGCAAGTCCCGGGGCCACGCTGGGGCCACCCTGGGAGTCCCGGGGCCATGCTGGGGCCACCCTGGGAGTGCAGAAGGCTGCCTCCCCCCGGATGCGGGGCACGAGGGCCACCTGCGTGGAGCACGAGCAGCTGCCTTTGGGACACCATGACCCAAAGGAGCCCCATGAAGGGGCTGTGCTCGGCTGCAGAGGAAGGCAAAAAACCCCAGGGACGCTTGCTAGTCCAGCCTGGGGGCAAAAAAGCCTTCCCCCCCCCAGCTGCAGGACACGAGGGGCCGCCTTCGTGGAGCATGAGCACCAGGCGATAACGCAGCCAGAGTGGACTGAGGAGCCCTGACAAGGGGTCATGCTCAGTGCTCAGAGGAAGGCAAAAAACCCCCGGGGACCGGTGCCAATCTGCCCCGGAGGAAAATTCCTTCCTGACCCCAGTGCTGGCGATCGGCTACTCCCTGAGCACGTGAGCAAGACCTGCTCCAGCTCCACAAGCTGGTTACGCCTCTAAGGGGACAAGGGGACACTGGCACTGCTTTTTCTGCTTCCACCTGAAGCCATCTCAGGGGCTTCCAACAACAGCAAAATGCCTTTGGCCTGATGAATCCTCGGAGCACGAATCCTTCCTGTGCTTGGCAGTGGGAGCTCCAGAGCACTGGGGGAGGGCACTGAGCCACCTGTGCATCCTTTTTCTTCTGGCTGCTGCCACTCTCTCCCCAGGAGGTGAGGACGTCGAACTCCCTGACAACTAAAGCACGATCCCTCGATGATGCTTTGAGCGTGGCCCCTCCAGAAGCTGGAGCTGCAGCACAGAACCTCCTGCAGCTTTGCAGCTTCAAGTGTTCTCTCCCTTAGTCCCCCCCTCACCTAATTCCCTGGTGCCCAGGAGATGAGGACGGCAAGCTCCCCAACGACTGAAGCAGGATTTCCATCCATCCATCCATGCGATGAGCTTTGAGCGTGGCCCCTCCAGGAGCTGGAACCGCAGCACAGAACCTCCTGCAGCTTCGCAGCTTCAAGTGTTCCCTCCCTTAGTCCCCCCCTCACCTAATTCCCCGGTGCCCAGGAGACGAGGACAGCGAGCTCCCCAACGACTGAGGCAGGATTTCCATCCACCCATCCATGCATCCATCCATCCATGCGATGAGCTTTGAGCGTGGCCCCTCCAGGAGCTGGAAGCGCAGCACAGAACCTCCTGCAGCTTCGTGCAGCTTCAAGGGTTGCCCCCATCAACCCCCTCCCCCCTGCCAGGAATTCCCCCGGTGCCCCAGGGACTGCCTCTCAGATGCCCTCAGGCTGCCAGCTCTGTCCCGGTGGCAGCGCCGGGCACTCTGGTAGCGGGACAGGGGAGGGCGCTGGACACATACTGCCCCGGAGCATTGTGATGCTGCATGGCCTGGTGCTGGCACTATGACACAAGGGTGACGGGGCCCCTGCAGCCCTGCCTACCGCAGCCCTGCTGCTGCTGCTGCTGCCCCTTCGCCCAGCATCCCTTGGAGAAAGGCCTTTGGGGTGCTGGCCCTGAGGCAGTGCCTGTGCCCAGGAGGCCCAGGGCGATGTCTCTGCCCATGGTGGCCACACACTGGGCATCGCTGCGGGGTGTCCCTGTAAATAAATCTGTATGTTCATACTGTGTCCGTAAAGGCTTGTCCTGGGTTCAGCAGTAGCAGTCATTTTTCTCCTTGGTAGCTGGTGCAGTGCAGTGTTTTGACTTTCGGCTTGGGAACAGAGCTGATAACAAGGATGTTTTGGTTTGGCCAAGGACTTTGTGAGCCTCATGCTCTGCCAGGGAGGAGGGGAAGCTGGGAGGAAGCAGAGACAGGACGCCTGACCCAAACTAGCCAAAGAGGTATTCCATACCACAGCACATCATGCCCAGGATGTAACTGGGAGTTACCCGGAAGGGCTGGTAGACTGCAGGGTTGGAGGAGGCATCGGTCAGAGCTTGGTCGGGCTGGGGGGGGGTGAGTTATCAGTTGGCTGGTGGTGAGATGTTGTATTCTCTTCCCTTGTTATTTCCTTTATCATTGTTATCATTGGTGGTAGCAGTAGTGGTTTGTGTTATACCTTAGTTACTAAACTGTTCTTATCTCAACCCGTGGGAGTTGCATTCTTTTCGATTCTCCTCTGTGTCCCTCCAGGAGTAGGGGGAGGGCAAGAAAGGGGGGGGGAAGTGGTTTAAACCCAGTCAGGCAACTTGTTCACTCACTCCCAGTGAGTGGTGCCGGTCTGACAACAATCGAGGGCCGTGTCCCGTGCCCCACCCCCCCCACCGGGGCTCTCCCCTTCCCCGCTCCCGGAGGAACGGGGAGGAAGATCGAAAGAGTGCAACTCCTACGGGTTGAGACAAGAACAGTCCAGCAACCAATGTACAACACAAATCACCACCGCTACTATCAACTACAACAATGATAAGGGAAAATAACAAGGGAAGAGAATACGATACCACCGGCCAAGAAACGAGTTCCACCCGGAAGCCCGTGTCCTTCCGGGTAACTCCCAGTTACCCCCCACCCCGGGCATGACGTGCTGTGGTATGGAATACCTCCCTGGCTAGCCCGGGTCAGGCGCCCCGTCTCTGCTTCCTCACAGCTTCCCCTCCTCCCTGGCAGAGCATGAGCCTCACAAAGTCCTTGGTCAGGGTAAACATCACTTAGCAACAACCGAAAACATCGGCTTCACCAACACTGTTCCCAGGCTGGAAGTCAAAACACAGCACTGCACCAGCTACCACAAAGGAAAAACATGACTGCTACTGCTGAACCCAGGACAGTGAACAAGCTGTCTGGCTCGGGTTTAAACCACGACAAGGCTTTTATACCACGTACACTCATTTGAGTGTGGCGATCCCAAAGGTGAAAGGAAAGGGGTTTGGGTTCCATCTGCATGAACTTTGCAGAAACATAGAGCACGCAGCATTTCCTCACCATTCCTTATCAAGACACCAATTGGCATTTGCTATTACACTGCCTACGGTGAGGTCTTGGAAAGGAGAATTCAAGAAATCTCTTCTGCATTTGTTACACAGGGCAATGTTTGTAGCAGAGGGTGTTTAGATATTTGCTTGTGTTTGTTAACATTCATGTGTCTAGTTTGGGGGTTTACCTCTTGTCCTACTACTGGAATGCAACACCTCACTGACTGCTGCTGAATTCCATGTGCAAGGTCCTACACCTGGGTCAGAGCAATCCAGGCACAGCTACAGGTTGGGCAGAGAAGAGATTCAGAGCAGCCCAGCGGAGAAGGACTTGGGGGTGTTGGTCGATGAGAAACTGAACATGAGCCGGCTTCAGCGTGCGCTCTCAGCCCAGAGAGCCAACCGTATCCTGGGCTGCATCTAAAGGAGCGTGACCAGCAGGTCAAAGGAGGTGATCCTGCCCCTCTCCTGTGCTCTCGTGAGACATCACTTGGAGTATTGTGTGCACTTCTGGTGTCCTCAACATAAGAAGGACATGGAACTGTTGGACCAAGTCCGGAGGAGGGCCACGAGGATGATCAGGGGACTGGAGCACCTCCTGTATGAAGATAGGCTGAGAAAGCTGGGGCTGTTCAGCCTGCAGAAGAGAAGGCTGCGTGGAGACCTCATAGCAGCCTTCCAGTATCTGAAGGGGGCCTATAGGGATGCTGGGGAGAGACTCTTCGTTAGAGACTGTAGTGATAGGACAAGGGGTAATGGGTTCAAACTAAAACAGGGGAAGTTTAGATTGGATTTAAAGAAGAAGCTCTTTACTGTGAGGGTGGTGAGGCACTGGACCAGGTTTTCCAAAGAAGAGGCAGATGCTCCATTCCCGGCAGTGTTTAAAGCCAGACTGGACAGAGTCTTGGGTGACGTGGTTTAGTGCGAGGCATCCCTGCCCATGCCAGGGGGTTGGAACTAGATGATCTTAAGGTCCTTTCCAACTCTTAACTATTCTATGATTCTATATGCATAACATAGCAGAGCTTTCTATTGTATTCTGTTCAGTTCCAGTCCACTCTCTTCTGTTCTATTCCATTCCGTTTTATTGCCTTCCCTTGCCTGCACTCACAAGTTGTACAATGAGGAGATCCTTATTTACCTGAAATGCCAAGGGAATTTCAGCACCAAAATCCCTTTCAAAGACACAACTCAGAATGGTTATGGGTAGAAAGAGTATTTTATTTATTTCTAGATAAAGTTATTTGATTTAGTTTAGCTGAGTTAATTTTAGTCGGGTTTAGTTTAGAGCCTTCAGTTTAGGTGGCAAAAGCCTCCCTTGCATCCTGAGAAAGGAAAGGCAGGGCAGGAGCGGTGCCATGGCGGCGCGAGAGCAGTGCAAGAAGAACCCAGCCAGAAAGGGCCAGGGAAGACCTGTCGAGGTGTGGTGCTCAATCCTCCAGAGGACAGCAGCAAGTCCCGGGGCCACGCTGGGCCCACCCTGGGAGTCCCGGGGCCATGCTGGGGCCACCCTGGGAGTGCAGAAGGCTGCCTCCCCCCGGATGCGGGGCACGAGGGCCACCTGCGTGGAGCACGAGCAGCTGCCTTTGGGACACCATGACCCAAAGGAGCCCCATGAAGGGGCTGTGCTCGGCTGCAGAGGAAGGCAAAAAACCCCAGGGACGCTTGCTAGTCCAGCCTGGGGGCAAAAAAGCCTTCCCCCCCCCAGCTGCAGGACACGAGGGGCCGCCTTCGTGGAGCATGAGCACCAGGCGATAACGCAGCCAGAGTGGACTGAGGAGCCCTGACAAGGGGTCATGCTCAGTGCTCAGAGGAAGGCAAAAAACCCCCGGGGACCGGTGCCAATCTGCCCCGGAGGAAAATTCCTTCCTGACCCCAGTGCTGGCGATCGGCTACTCCCTGAGCACGTGAGCAAGACCTGCTCCAGCTCCACAAGCTGGTTACGCCTCTAAGGGGACAAGGGGACACTGGCACTGCTTTTTCTGCTTCCACCTGAAGCCATCTCAGGGGCTTCCAACAACAGCAAAATGCCTTTGGCCTGATGAATCCTCGGAGCACGAATCCTTCCTGTGCTTGGCAGTGGGAGCTCCAGAGCACTGGGGGAGGGCACTGAGCCACCTGTGCATCCTTTTTCTTCTGGCTGCTGCCACTCTCTCCCCAGGAGGTGAGGACGTCGAACTCCCTGACAACTAAAGCACGATCCCTCGATGATGCTTTGAGCGTGGCCCCTCCAGAAGCTGGAGCTGCAGCACAGAACCTCCTGCAGCTTTGCAGCTTCAAGTGTTCTCTCCCTTAGTCCCCCCCTCACCTAATTCCCTGGTGCCCAGGAGATGAGGACGGCAAGCTCCCCAACGACTGAAGCAGGATTTCCATCCATCCATCCATGCGATGAGCTTTGAGCGTGGCCCCTCCAGGAGCTGGAACCGCAGCACAGAACCTCCTGCAGCTTCGCAGCTTCAAGTGTTCCCTCCCTTAGTCCCCCCCTCACCTAATTCCCCGGTGCCCAGGAGACGAGGACAGCGAGCTCCCCAACGACTGAGGCAGGATTTCCATCCACCCATCCATGCATCCATCCATCCATGCGATGAGCTTTGAGCGTGGCCCCTCCAGGAGCTGGAAGCGCAGCACAGAACCTCCTGCAGCTTCGTGCAGCTTCAAGGGTTGCCCCCATCAACCCCCTCCCCCCTGCCAGGAATTCCCCCGGTGCCCCAGGGACTGCCTCTCAGATGCCCTCAGGCTGCCAGCTCTGTCCCGGTGGCAGCGCCGGGCACTCTGGTAGCGGGACAGGGGAGGGCGCTGGACACATACTGCCCCGGAGCATTGTGATGCTGCATGGCCGGGTGCTGGCACTATGACACAAGGGTGACGGGGCCCCTGCAGCCCTGCCTACCGCAGCCCTGCTGCTGCTGCTGCTGCCCCTTCGCCCAGCATCCCTTGGAGAAAGGCCTTTGGGGTGCTGGCCCTGAGGCAGTGCCTGTGCCCAGGAGGCCCAGGGCGATGTCTCTGCCCATGGTGGCCACACACTGGGCATCGCTGCGGGGTGTCCCTGTAAATAAATCTGTATGTTCATACTGTGTCCGTAAAGGCTTGTCCTGGGTTC